TGAGCCCGAACAAAGAAATCTGAGTTGTCAAATGGACTATTTTTGACTATTGTTCGATGAATGTCTCCCTCAAAAATCATGATATCGGGCTGAAAATTTTATCATAGATTCTTCACTACAGCCTCAACATATCCTGAAAATTTCTTATCATTTAAAAGTTGTCGGGCTGAGATCGATTTTCGAGGGAGGAGAGCCTTAATATTTTAATCATTAAAAATGAAATAGTGATCTAACTATAATTTTTAATTGCATTTCGAAACTATTTTAAAATTGTTTTATGATGAATGTGGATATCTAATAAGTTACCTATAATGACGATTCATATTGTAGAACATTCTAGATAGTTTAAACAAAATGAGTTGAAAAACTAGTAATCATTTTTACAATCCGAATTGACAATAAATCTGATCGGTTTATTTACAAAGCCATTATGTATTTACGCAAATAAAACATGATTTTCACTATACAATGATATTTCATTTAATAAAAGTAGATTTATTTTTAAAAGTATAGCTCATTACTTTTAATCAAAAACATATAATAAAATTAACTGGCAAGAAAAATCTTTCCATAAATGCACTAAACATATCTCTATCCCCTCCGTTTGAAGAATAATCCATCAGACGTAATAGAAAACTCGTCTTAATTAATTAAATTCTTGCTAAATTAAAATTTGACATCAAAATATGCTTTGTTTTCAGAGTTTTTGAGCTGGACAATGTTAAAAGACTGAGATCAAGTGTTTAAAATCTTTCTCAACATCATTTTAGTTAAAAATTATGAAAAAAAAACGAGACACAATAAAAGACGATCGTAAAAAATTCATACATTTGAACATAATAGAAGATCCGAAGTTTTTATTTACGAAGAAGAATTCAAACTTCATAAAATCCTAAGAATAAATAGTCTTTCAAATAAATGAACTAGAAAATTTTCCAAGTGACATTTCGAAGTTGACGTCTTTGTACACAGTTAAACAGATAATTTCAAAATCTAACGTGAAACTTTCTACTTGATTCATTGATGATAACTACGAATTTTCCAAAACACCAAATGTTTAGTTTTTTAGCGCCTACAATTCGGATATAAAATTTTCTCAAACTATATGAAATGATAGAGCAAATCATCGTATACATTTCCCAGTTCATCACAATCTTTTTTTTCGTCGAACCACATCAGATTTACGGCATTGAAGGTAAAGAATTAAATTTTTCTTTTATTTTTTTTTCGCGAAAATAAATACAATCAAAAAAAAGGATATGAAAAAATATGTTGGGGACTAACAAAAGGTTATATCTAACATCATTGCTTGATTACATATTTTTGTGAAATAGAGAAACGAAAATCATAGTTATACTACAAATAAAAATAGAATCAAATAAATAAATTAAATAACATAATAACTTACCTAACTACGTTTCATTTGATTTTATAGTAACTCTATCAGCATTAAACTATAAAAAAAATCAATGAGAATCGTAAAAAATTTTCATTACATCGATTTACCTTTACGAGATTTACTACCAGTTTGATTTGTAGTAGATTTATCTGCTTGTTTACCATAATCAGTTCCTCGATCTCTAATTTGATCAGTTGGTGATGGACCACCTCGATTATATCCACCTGATGGTTCACTTGGTAAATCGCTTGTATAAGGAACGCTATTTCCAGAAGTACTTGTTGGTTGGGATGCTGGACTACTTGCACCGCCAGTGCTGCTTCCAAAAGTGCCTGCTGATTGAGATGCTGGACTACTTGCACCGCCAGAACTGCTTCCAGAAGTATTTGATGTTTGAGATGCTCGACGACTACTATCATAAGTACCCGATTGATTACTGTTACTAGTCTTATTATCACGACCACTAACTGCATCAACAACAGTTGATGTTGCATTACTAACTACATCTTTAACTTTTTCAGCTGCTTGATTAAGTTGATCAACACCTTGTTTAACATAATCCATTGGACTTTTTCCTTGTTGACTAGTAAGTGTACGTATAGAACTTCTTTGTATAACTAGAGAATATTAAATAAATAATTTTTCAAAATATAAATTATACAAATAAAATATTTCAAATACTTCGTGAACTATATAAGAAAGTACGTGTAAGATTATTAGCCATAATATTTTTATTATTTGTTAATTAAATAAAAAATAAAATCTAGAAAAAAAAAACAAAAAACAAAATTTCACTTTTTTTACTCCTCGATCTGCATGTTACTCGGTGTACATTGAAATAAGAAATGATAAAAAAATAAGTAGAAGAACAATGCCATTAGTCATAGACATTGTGTAGTTAATCAACACGTGTCTATTACACGTGCTGATGTTATAACGCACCAGAAAAAAAAAGATCAAGGAGTTCTTATAGAGAAAAAAAAACGAAGTTCAATGATAGAATACTCTTCATCAATGATTATTTATCCTTGAAATTGATATGAAAATGAAATATTGAAATATTGATGAAATTCGAAAAAAAAAGCTGTAGAAATAATAAAAAAAAAAACATAAAATCAAAAGAAAAGAGTAGCGACATCTGAAAGTTATCCTCTTGTCCTTACTACTACTACTATCTGTAACGTTCTGTGTTTTCATATTCTCTTCTGATGAGAGAAAGAAAGATATATAACATCATATTATTATTATTTTATGTCTTGTCTTGTAACTAACAAGATCATCATCTATGTTCCATGTCTCTTTAAGATAAGATTTGCTTCTGAAAGTTCTAGATAATAATATATAACTATAGAGAAAGCTTCTCTGAAAGACAACACAAATAGGTGTTATCTATCGCAATTCCCTCGCAATGCTAATAACCAACATTCTAAGTGAATTGCGTGTAGATCAATTTTCAGCACTAGTGGATCATATCTTTATCTTGTTTGTTTATGATATTAAAATTAATAATAAAATTGCAATTAAAATAAATTCTAGAATCAACTGTGTATTTGCTTATTTGATTTAAATGATTGATCTTGTTTTATTAATTTTATCCTCGTCTTCTCTGACAGTTCAATGATTTTTTCATTTTAATTTCTCTTAACAGTATATAATTTTGATCTATGTAATAAAATAAAACTAAGTCAATAATGTCATAAGGATAAATCGCATGGTAAAATATCATTATTTAATCACGCATTTACTAACGACGGCACGTTTCTAACTGTCAAATCTTTTTATACTTGAAAGTATAACTATAATGAACATTGAGAAATTTTATTGTATGACCTTTATTGATCAAATTATAGGTGTTTTACTCGTTTTTTCTTCTATGAATAGAGGATTGCTAAGGATCTGAATAGTCGAAATTCAAGGTAAAATTTTGTCCATAGACATGCCTTCACATTTGAAGTATCTTTCTGAACACTTTACGGTTGTCATCGACGAAAGACGTTTCAAATATTAAAACTTACTTCCAATAATGAGCACCTCCATAAAGTGAACACTTTTGACTGGGTCCATATTGTGTCCACATTAAGGAGGTTTTACTATATGTTTCAAAAAAAAGAACATTTTCATCACAAACTAATATCTCAATAAGAATACTTTTATCCTAGCTCGAAAGTTGAACATCCAAATTCTCAGCAATTATTTGTTCATAGAACAAAAATCGAATAAAACGCCTATAATTCAACCAGTGAAGATCAGAAAATCAAAACATATAGTTTTTCCCTACTCATCATATCCAATTGAATGACAATAGTTTCAAGAGAACAGTTGGGAACATTCTCTAGTAAGTTTATTTGAAGTAGATACTTTTTTAATGATAAATTACCACAAATAATTTGCGACAACATCATAAAAATGTACTTGTTTTGCATACACCTAATACAAGGTAAAAAAGGATATTTAATAGAATCGATTAATTGATATTCACTAATGTTTTATGTTAACATTTTAATGGTTGGTTATCGTTTGATCGTCATTCTATCACGGTGTACTAATAGTTGTTCTCTCACCATATGTTCGATGTAACCTTTCAACATATGTCAAATTTCATTCTGTAGTTCTTCCTAACACAATAACAAAACATATCGATCTGAAATTTAAAAGAGGTTTTGCTAGTCGGTCGAGTATTCGTCAACAGGATCATTTTATGATTGAAATGAAAATCTACTCTTTTTTTAACAACAATCGATTCCTTACATCGAACTGAAGTTACAAGTGTTGATACATGAGGGAGCCTGCGAACTGAAAAAAATGATTATGTCCGTCGATTTTGTTTGAGTAACATCTCATTTGAAAGAGCACATTAAACTGAACAAAAACGTCGAGAATAGATTTCTCAAAAACTTGAGTTTTGATATAAAAGAATTAACTTTTCTGAAAAACTACATTTGTAGGCTGTAATAATGTCGCTACAAGATACATTATATTAAGATTACATTCCGATAATTTATCATATTGAAAAACAACCTACAAGTGTAATTTTTTCAGAAAAGCTAATTCTTTATATCAAGACTCAAGCTTTTGAGAAACCTATTCATGACGTTTTTTGTTTCGTTTAATCTGTTCTTTCAAATAAGATGTTGCTCAAACAAAACCGACGGACATGATCATTTTTTCCAGTTCATAGATTCTAGTTTGATATAAGAAATTGATTAATGTAAAAAAAACATCCAGAGTAGATCTTAATTTTAACCATAAAATCAACTTTCTCAATGAATCCATGAAGTTTCTCTTAAGCTTCATTTATACTTTTGGATTTCGTTGTCTGTAAGCAAAACTAGATGTCGCTCGTCTCTTATAGTGTTACATATCTGAACCTTGCATACTATTGGTTTTTTGTCTTATTGTTGCTTATGCACCTTAGCAAACATAATAAATCTTAACTGGTCATTTTGCATTTTTTCCCAAATCATTGCTTAATTACATAAGTTCAAGTTTTTTTTGTTAAACAATCATTGGGAATTTTCCCCCATCTATTACCTTACACTATATAGGCTTCAATTGATACTTTCTTTTAGATTATATTCAATTTATTTTTTTAATTAAAATAATGTCAGCATCAGGATCACGTGGTCGAGGTCGTGGTAGTAAGTATAAAACATTTTAAATATTTATAATAATTAATTTCTTTAGAACGAGTTAATCGAGTAGATATAGGCCCACCAGAACCCTATAGGTCTCAATCAATAGCTATAATACCTGAGAAATTCCATCAAGGAAATAAAGAAAATCGTATGATGAATCGTCCACCATCATCATCATCAACAACAACATCATCCGGACGAAAACCTTCTACTGATCATTGTAAATCTACATCTCGTTCTTCAACAAATCGAGCTAAATCTACACATTCACACAGAAATTCTATTCGTTCAGCAGTACCCGATACATCCATAATATCGATAGCACAACGACCAGATCAAGGTGGAACAGGTAAATCAATAAATATATGATTAATCAAATCGAAAACTATCTTGTTTGTTTTTCTTTCTTAAGCTGGTCAAAAACTAAGATTATATACAAATCATTTTAAATGTAATATTCCTCAAATATTAAAATGTCATCAATATGATATTGAGTTAGAAGCAGCTAATCGAGATAATACATGGCGTCCAGCAAAAAAAGATGATCGCTTTCTTATATTAAGAAAAATAATTGAACGTGAACATTTTCCATTAGTTTGGTATGATGAAGGAAAAAGTCTTTATTCAATTGAATTACTTGTTGATTTAAAAGATCAATATGAAATAATTATAAAAGATAAAAAAAGTGATAGAGAACAAAAATATCGTTTATTAATAATTAATCTTGTTAAATCATATGATATACAGGTTTTGATTTTATTTGAAAAAGAAAAGAAAAGAAATTTTCTTTATTTTTTTTAGGTTCTTTGGGATTTTATTGAAAATAAAATAGCTATTCGTCCAAGAGATCCTATAAGAATATTAGAAACACTTCTTAAACAAACCACTCGTGCAACAATGGTTTGTGTTAAAAATCAATTTTATGATAGACGACAAGACTTAGATGATTTAGGTTTGTTTAAATATTGAATTTCAATCAATATATATTTAATTGAAAATTGTTTGTATAATTTATTAATATTCTTTTTGAAGTAAATGAAGATTCAATTAAAATTCAACACGAGAATTGTGTTCAGTATAAACAAGTTGAGTGGATCTACATACGTTTTTAAATTGTATGATAACTTTTATTTTTGTCAAAAAAACTCGACTGGGATTCTCGTCAAAGATTGAATCAGTTTTTTATGTTGAATATAATTCTGATGTTAGATTTTTCTCTCATTCTCTTCATATTATCGAATGGAAAAAGTCTTAAAAGCCGATTTACGATCTTATAATCTCTCCCGCCTTTGACGATTATTTCGTAGAAAATCAAAAGTGTATATATGGTTTTGTATTGTTATTGTGTTTAAATAGTATTTTTATAAACGTTCCGGAGTGAAGATTTTACTTAGAGTGATCAAAAAGATTAACTCGAGTTAATCGGAGTTTGTTCTTGCTGAAATGACAACAAGAATCAACTGTTCTTAATGTACGAAGACTTTGAAATTTTCTTAAACAAGAATAGTCCGTTGAAGGTTATGTAATATAGAAAAATATGATGATATTTAGATTCCTCATTGTGTATTTCAGAACAAGAATTTTGCTTCTTTTTTTTTTTTTTTATGACGATCAACAGAAATGTGATTGATTGCACTTTCCTATAGAAATTTTTCTTATTTTTGCTTTTCAAAGGTGATGGTCGAGGTTTAGCTCATGGATTTTATCAAGCAATGTTTTTAACAAAAATTGGTGCAACATTAAATATTAATTCTACATTTACATGTTTTTATCAACCATTCAATTTAGTTGATTTTCTATGTGAATATCTTCAACATAATATAATTCGAGATGGTAATTTAATATGGATTTATTTTTTATTGATTTATCTTTTCTTTTTTCGTAAAAAAAAACACAAAGGTATTGATGAACGTGAACAACAATTATTATTACGAAAAGTACTTAAACCTATATGGCTTGAAACTCATCATACAGAAAGTGTAAGAAAATATCGTATACGTGGTTTTGGTGCATCAGCACGACAACATACATTTCCACGTATTGTTGATGGTACTAATGAAGATAATCAAGAACGACAATCAGTTTATGAATATTTCTTAGAAAAATATCAAATTACTTTAAAATATCCAAATTTACCAACCGTTGGTAAGATGATTAATCAAAATAAAATTTTCTTTTTTTTGTTTCTTCGAGTAAAACTATTATATAATTAGAATTATATACACCACCAAATAAAACACAATTTCATTATTTACCAATGGAATGTTGTACAATTCAAGCCTGGCAACGTTCAATAAAACCTTTAACAACAGATCAACGTGCACGTGTAACAAAAAAAACTGTTGTCAATCCAACACAACGATATCAATCAATAATGGATATAATTCAAATAAGAAATTTTAATCAAGATAAATATTTAAATGAAATTGGTATGAGTATTGATGATCAACAAATGCTTACTGTACCAGCAAGATTTATTCCACCACCAGAAATTAAATATAAAAGTGGACGAGATGGACAAAGTGATATTGTTGAAAGAATTAATATTGGAAAGTATGAATTTACAAAAAAAAAAAACAATTTCCACTAAAGTTTTTTCTTTTAATTATAATAAAGATGGAATTTGAGAAATCGATTTCAAAAAACGAGAACTATTGATCGATGGGCATGTGTTTTGATTTCATCACAAAAACCAAATCCTAATCAATTATCAATTGCAAAACAATTTATTGATCAATTTCCTTATGTAAAAATCTTTTTTTATTTATCTTCAAAAAATCAAATCTATTCATTTTAAAGATAATTAAACAATATGGAATATGTTTTCAAACAAATCCAATAATGTTTAGTGATCCAGCTAATCCACAAGTTATACATGATCGTTTAAGAGAATTAAAAGAAAAAAATTGTGAAGTTGTTTTAATTATTCTTAATGGTGTAGGAGAAGATATTTATAAATCAATTAAATATTCTGGAAATCAAAAACTTGGAATTGTTACACAGTAAGATTTTCTTTTTTTATTATTGAAAAAAAAATATTTTCACCATTTTAGATGTACTGATTTTGTTGCTATTGCAAAAAATATTAGAAATAAAAAACTCGATATGGTAAGAATAAAAAAAACAAAAAAGAAAGAAATTCTTGTATGATAGCAATCTCGTTAGTAGAAATTTAAAAAAAAAATGAACAAAAGAAAACAATTTCGATTCTTGTCTTGTTAAGAAGGCTGATTTTATATTTGACATTGAAAAATTCATTGTAAAAGTAGCAACTTGATGAATGGTGAAAAAATTTGCCCTGGAAGATTTTAATATTCATAAGAGTTAATTAATCTGATACAGTATGTCTTCTCAATCAATTACATCAATTGTCTGTACATTATATACCGACTGTCTTTAAAGTTTATTATTAAGTACAAACAAAATTCCCATTCATTTCTTGTCATGTCAGTCATTCTCTAAGAACAAATTCTTGATGATAAGCTAGCAAAACTATTGTTTTTAATTAAACCTATACTTTCAGTATTTACAAAATCTTGTACAAAAATTTAATGCTAAACTTGGTGGTGTAAATGGAATGGTGTCTTTAGCTCGAGCATTAACATCATCATCAACAAAAGATGATATATT